ACACCCGAAACCCTGAATGGGTTCAGCTTTCCTACCCACCACCACTTGTTAGGCAAGCCCAGCTGGTGCATCGACAAGCCATGCGCAGCTCAACGCTCCCTACTTGCTGGTTGTTAGTCGGGAACGGAGGCATAGATCCCTATTCCATTTTCCATCGGGTAGCCTGACCATGCTCTTGGTCGAAAGCCTCGCGGGAGGTAACCTGGTTCAAGGGCGGTCTTGCAAGAAGAAGCTTGGTCTGCGTAGCGCCCTGACGGGCTGAAGCGAGGGTGTTGTTCAGCACTTATCTGGTATGGAAGCAAAGCCTGCCCCACATTACACTTGGCGCGTGTGTGTTTGATGCTGTTTTTTTTTCTTTTTTTTGAAGCGGGACTGCCTGATCAAAGTAGCTTAATCCAATAGATCCAACTGCCTTCCTTGCACATCACACAACATGACAGATCCTGACTGGAAATGCAGCAGTCCCGTCCCTCGTTCTGTCGTAATTGTCTTGTGGTTCTGTGTAGGGGCGACGCAGAACCTGCATAAGTATCTAGGGGAATACTCCCAACAACTTATGTATGTGTCTATGTGCCAGAAGCCCCAGACCTAACCCCCAAAACCCAAATTCCGAACCTAAGTCGCACATTTTAGATCCTAAGCTTGGATCCTCAGCCTGAGCTCTGAGCCCATTGACCTGCAGGCCTAAGTCCGGATATTGTCTACTCGCTTGTGTCCTACCTTGCTGTTCTCAGCCGGGAGCTGGGGGACCAGGCGGGATTGCTGTAGTCCTCTTTGAAGGTTGGAGCTTTTCAAACTTATGGGCTCCTTGCAGAGTCCCGGTCACGAAGTTCAGGATCTGTTTCTTGGGGGGTAGGCAGGACGGAACCCCCATTCTGTTTGTTCCACTGAGTGTTAATTAGAAAAGACAGTCTCTGAGTTTAGGGCTTGACTCTTGGGTTCGCGGGGTGGGATCTGTACGGTTGGTGTGGCCATCAGAAGATCAACGTGATCATTCCTATATAGCCCTGTACAACTGGTAGCTTCCGTTTCCTTCTCCATTATTCATGATTCCTACATACCCCTATTTCACCTAAAGTAGTTTTCATCTCCTTTTCCATAATTCCTATCTAGCCCCATATATCTTAGGTAACCTGTAGTAGTTTTCATTTCCATTTCCATTATTCCTATATAGCCCTACAGATCCTGTAGTAGTTTGAGGGAGGCTTAGGCTTGACTCCCCCCTTCACCTACAGTGGGGACTCAATAAGCAGCTCCGCTCCTGGTCGTGCTTATCTATGGCTATATAGGAATAACGGAAAGGGAAATGGGAACCCCTAAACCCTAAACGGGGCTATAGAGGCGGGGTTTCAAAAATTAGCGGTTCCTTCGTGCGGAGTCCTGAAAATTGGGATTGCAGTCTGTCTGGGCAGTGTAGGGCACCCCGGTTCTTGGAAATATCCAATTTATATAGCATCCTGATAACATGGCCCAAATTCTATGCACCCAAACCCTAAACCCTAGACCCAGGTCAACGGCGTCAGATCTTTCCCCTTTCGTTCCTCAGCGCTCATCCAAAGTCATGCGGGTTAAGAGCTGCAAGCCCTAAGCCTGTAGCAACACATCCTCTAAACCCAAGGCCTCAACCATGTGTGAGCCCCGCTTTCTGAAACCTGAGGTTGAACTAACCCCCCTGAACTAGCCTAAGCTCCTCATACTTCAATCTGCGAGCCCTGCAGCGGTCTTTCCTGCCCGAAAGCTCTGAACATCACATACCTCTAGACCCTGATCCCTAGAATTAGATCCTAAACCAGAGAATGCTGTAAACCAGCAGAAACCCCAACCCCCAGATGTCAAGTGTTTCCTGCTACAGGATGGGAGCTTCTTGGTGGGCACCACTCCTGGCCCTGTGAGCAACCAATGGCTCCAGGAACTTCCAGCAGCGAACGCAGACTTCTTTCCAGCCGCAATCATGATGTCATAGGTTGCGTTTGTCGTCAAGATCCATTCCACTAAGTAGCTTTGGAGAGGACCAATCAGGATCCGTTCCTGTTGAGTCCTGCTCGATGCGAGCGGCCGTAAATTTGTGTCTGGGCACAGGGTGCTCAATTTGCTCAATCAGGACGAAGGATCCCACTTGTCGAAGGTGTTTTGCTTTTCCTGAAACGTGCACCTACTGGCATTCAATCACCAAAAAGTGCGGCCAGCTTACCTTCAGGTTGTGACGAGGCTTTTAGAAGTTCTAGGTCGTGTCCGGTGATTAGCGTAACGAAATTGACTTACAAGGGCTGTTATGAGAAACTCCTTGGTCCATATCAACTTTGGACCCCAGCCCACAAACTGCTAAATCCCGGCAAAAACCTCAGAATTGCGGGAAGCCCTCAGATTGTGAGGCTCATACCATGGTCGCGCCCACCTTGTGCAACCACGAGCGTCTGGGAGTGGCCTGGCATGAGAGTTCCTCTTGCTCACCCTTCACTATGAAGAACCACTGTAGGAAATCCAGTGGGCGCTCTGCGATTTGAGGGATGCTGGTGTTCCGTCTACTTGATGATGACCGGGCAGGCTTTTGCGTTCATAGGTACATTCGCGATGCAGTGCTTTTGGCAGTCGATGTTTATCTAGTGAATGAGCAAGTAGCAGGCTACCATGCACTGCTTGGCTGCACAATTAATTGCGCCTTCATGATTGCCACGACTGCGATCCTTGCTACGTGCATCAGCGGAAATCCGCAGCTGGTAGCTGTGTATTTTGCATCTTGCCAACTGCTACCTTTATTGCTACTCCTCCTGCTTCTGCTGCTGCTACAACTACTACCATGACAACCACAAGTAGTACTGGTGTTTCCTACCTCTACCAATTGTTCCCCACATGTTCATGACTATTCAGTATTCCTATTTCCATATCATGTCAACGTTGCCTCTTTTCTTTTCAAGTTGGATGGGCTACGCACTATCCAGTCAAACTTAATCTAGGGCTTTGAGCATCATCCGCTGACTCAGCTTGCGCGAGAATCTAGGAACCTAATGCAAACACAAAAGTCTCTTGAGACTGTCATCAGTGATGCTGTTTGCCAAATGAAATCCTCTGACCTTTTTTCCTCAAACCATCCATTTCTGACCAGTAGCCCAATGTCAAGAACCTTTCCCTTCGAAGTCTAAACCCTAGCTCACACCAGAACTATGCACCCAGAAGCTAGGTTTGAGTTGATGTTGTATCTTTTGTGCTGAGTTCATGTTGTATCTTTTGTGCTGTTCTGTCTCACACCTGAGTGGACATGGACCAGATAGCGAAGGCCTGCAAAAGGGCAGCAACAAATTGTGAAATGTCCACACCTGGGCCCTAGGCCGGCAGCTGTGGCTTGAAGGATTTCATGGCAGCTGGTGTCCCCTTCCAGGCCAAACCACTTTCGAAGAACGCTGAGGCTTTGCCTTTAAGTAGGAGTAGCAGCAGCAGTGGCAGCGGCGGCGGCGGCGGCGGTGGTGGTGGTGCCCGGGATTGTCATTGCTAGGCGAAGAAGTAGAAATACCAAGGAACGCTCTTTCTGTTCCTTATCGCTTCGTTGCTATAAGAGGAGCAGCAGCCAGTAGGGGCAGCCGTAGTGATGGTGGTGGTAGTGGCAGCACCAGCAGCACTTCTAGTAGATGTAGCAGCACTAAAACTGGTAGAGGTGGCAGCGGGGGTTCGTCGGCGGAGGTGGTGGTTGTGGTGTCAATTTTAGTCGTGGAGCAGTCTGGGAGGGGATTGATAAGAATTTGGAGGTGTGTCTGCAGTTCAAGCGAGTCCTTACTTAGCAGTTCGGGCTCGAACTCTTGCGTTGAAAGCTGCCTGCAGGCCCTGACAGACATCGCCGGCCAGGACCGGGCTTAGGATGAGCACAGGCTTCAAGGCAGCTTTTTTACTGGAGCCTCAACCCTGCACATCTATTGCTGATTGACCTGCTTTCTAGACCAGATGCGTACACAAACATCTTTCCACATACCAACTAAAGCTTGAGGGCCTTGTACACGGGGTATGTTCAGAGCTGTCTAGCCGGTGTACTTCTCAGGGTGTAGAGTTTTGCTTGTTCCTCACGGCTACGGTCCTAGGATGCTGTGTGCACAGTTTGGTTTTGAGCTGGGCTGCCCACACGAGCTGCAGATTTGTGAGTGATTTTCGGGCTAGACCAGTAGCCTGGAATCCTTCCACTACAGCCTCTCAGAGCCACTTCATAAATCAAGCCAACCCCGTTCGTTCTTTTTAGCTTCAATATTATGCATGCCTGGAAAGAGCCTGATGGCGGTAAAGCCACCCTGCAATCAACAAGATTTGGCTTGGAAACCTTGGACACTGCAAGGCTAGCTTTCCCACGATCAGGGGCCACGTTTTGGGATGAATCGCAAGAACATATTCGAGGGACTTTTGGTCTCAACAAGTGTCAGAGACGAGTATGTTGCCTGATATGTTGTTCTAAAAGTTTGAACACCCACTACCTGATCGTTTCTCAAGCAGCCGAACCTGGGATTCAGATAAGGCATTTGGATCAAGGACCTACAAGGAGTCTCTTAGTATCCTAGAGAAACTCGGACCCGGAAGCCTCAGCCCTGCACGTACCTTCTTTGCAGGACGTGGGAGGTGGGGCTCAGCTATGCCATGTGGCCAACAGCCAGGCATGAGATTTGGGTGGGGATTCGCGCCCCGAAGGCAGCATCAACGTAGCTGGTCCTTCACTCTCCCCAAAATTCAGTTTTCAAACCTGCTTGCCCATGTAGTCGTATCGCCTGCTGCAGCTGTTCTGCCTGGTCGTCTAGTGTTTACAGCAAGGGCGGTTTAGGTGTTGGTAGTGGTGTGCATGTCACCGCTCTAGGGCAACCGCAACAGCAATAGTAGGACTGTTCGTGATACACTGCTGGAACAGACAAATGTTCTCCGAGATTTTTGCTGGCTTCATCTGGACAGGCGAGTCAGGCAGTTCAAATCCTTAGTGCTCATGAAAGGCTAGCGACTATCGTCCCCTCTCTTGGACGCCATTTCGTTGTGAGGATGAGTCGCTGGTGATCTTCTATCCGGAGGTTCGGCACCAGAACACATACCAGGATAGACGCAGATGCAGTAGCTGATGCACCATCACTGCTTCAATGCACACGCCTGCAATTATAGTCGTGCTTGCAGCGGCTCTTGGGAAGGTCAGTGTTGTCAGCAAAAATCTCATCGCTCCTTCTATCTCGACTGACTGCGGTGTAGTGTATTGAACCGGCTATTAAATTCTTCTAAGATTTTGCAGAAGTTTCATCAAGTCAGCCTTACAAGATTCCATGAAGTCTTTCCTTTCGTTCAAAATAACTTTGTTAGGCCAGTCGAATTCCGACAGCGCTTTTCATCTAATCAGGAAGTATTGCAAACCTCGAGCTCGCCACCTAGGCTTAGATCAATGAATGATCAGCTACACCCACATAGTTTGAAAGTAAGACATGCTTTTCTTCTTCAATGCGCATTTCTGCGATTTTGTCTGTGCACCATATGCCCAACATTCCTTACTGGGGAAGCGGAGAGAGCTCATCACCTTACAACCTAGACGCTCAGGTGCTGGCTTTCTCTTTCTTCGTGGGCGACAAGCACATGCTGCCTGTCCCGTTCACCCTCCTCGGTGCCAGGAGGTATCTCAACACCATCTGCAAACCTGGCTGGTTTAAGGGTGCCCTCTGTGGGAGCTTGAAGGGCAAACCATCCCAAATAGTGTTGTGGATCTCCTCAAAAACCCCTACCTGCATGTCCGGAGGGTACTTTCCATTCTTACAAGTATCATGATCATGATTATCACCAGTAGTATCATTAACATTATTACTAGTACTATTATTTCTTCTACGATTGTTTAGTAAAAGCTCCAGAACAAAAAGCCATCTGGTTGCCAGATGGCGAGACTGGGGTGGGTCCACCCTTCCAGAACCTCTGCGGCAAGGCCATGGATCAATCAGGGAACATAGGATGATATAGGAGTAAGATAGGTTTTAGGGTTAAGGGAAGATGTTATATATATATATATATAATTTACACACATATTCACGGGGGTTCGGGCTTTCAGGTTCGTGTGTTATGTTGTGGATCTCTTGTAAGTTCCTACCTTCTTGATTAAAATTCTACTGTAGACTTTGACCATGATGATTTGTTTCTACGAGTGTTAGCTTACGGAGCTCCCAAACCTCACTCTGGCATGTAGGTCCCGGACTGACAGTAGCTTTTCACTTTCCGGCTGCTGGGACGGATAAGCGCAGCCGCACTTCTTGTTGTTGGCTCGGTTGTTGTTATTGCTAGGCAGTACCTTCTAACGAATGGCTGAGAACACTGGCCTTAAGGAGATATTTTTCCCCAAAGCTCCTTGCAGCACCTTGGGTGGTTCAACCCTGAGAGAACCCGTTCACAGTGTCGGCATATGGATGCTTAGGAAGATTTACTGTCCTCTATCTGTGGGATCCCTCTCTGAACCCTCAGGCCTAACCTGGAAGCTCATGTTTCTCCCACAGAGGTTGATCAGAGCCACTTGCTGAATGAGGACATCTTGACCAAAGATGTGTGGCTGGGCGGAAACGTTTGAAGCTTTAGGGTTTGAAGTCTTGAAGGTTGGGGTGGCTCGAGGGTCGGGGATTTGGAGCTAGCAGATCTTCGATTGCGGGGCTCAGGCAGGAGAGTGCCTGATGACATCTTTGTGCTGCTGCTCACCAGGGAAGATTGGAATGCATTGCAGGGGTCATTCTTATGGATTAATCCTACCGACGGGGTGTCGTAGTAGGTGCCCGCGAAGAGAACCAACGCCTTGCATGTGCTCCCGGCGGACTACCTCACTCCCACTAAAGTGCTAACGAGGGCTGTTATGCTTCCTTGGTTCACTACCTGGAACTTTCTCGGAACTTGGTTCCCGCTTTTTCGATCATGGTGATCCGTCTGACAGTCTTCATCATACCCAGGACCAGGCTGCCATGTCTGTTTGACTGTCAGCTCTAGTTAATCCACAAATCCACAATCGAAGACCTTACTGGTTGGTAATAGGAAATGGAGGAATGAATCCCTATAGTAGCCTCTATGTAATACCAAATAAAGGAGTTTCCAGATTCGTTTCCATGCCTGCATACCCTGCTAGCAAGCAGCAAGAAGCCAGCAGGGCTAAACGGCTAAACAGCGCATTCCCGGCCTCAGGCAAACTCATGTGTCGCTGACCCCCATCACGGTCAAGGCAGGGAAGCTGACCGCGTAGCCTAGGAGCCCGCAAGAAACGGTAGAGCTGAATTTCGACGTATATGTGTGGTATACTATGCCAGGACTTTGAGATGGCCATGAGGAACAGCAATTGGTAGTTCTTTTATCTTCGATTTTTTCCGTGATGCTTTTGGTGGAGGTCGCAAAGTTTGCATGGGGGATGCTCTCCTGGGGTACAGGTGGGTCTTTCGGCTGTTTTTTGAGCCTTCGGAGTGCTCGTTGATGTGGAGCACAAGAATCTGCCGTCGCGGCCAGCCAGAATTGCCAAGAAGCGTAATTTCATGTAACCAGATAGGAGCCGCGAACCCGAATGCAGACACGTGTCACGTACATGCAACGATAATAACAGTCCACGAGCGAAACACTTGGGAGACTTAGGTCCGGGGTCATCCCTTTCTC